TCTAGCCATGAATGTTTTAAGAAATCTTTTTAAGACTCGGTATTGTCAGTAGTTTCATTGGTTTGCACATGCGCCCAGCCACTATCACAGGACGGGAACCTCCCCGGAGAAAAGAAAACCAAAATATGCAAGTCCAGCTCCCCTGGGACAGCTGTGGCAGCCCTGTCAGTGCTCGCTCCCCTGGGACCATCCGCGTTCCAAGTCCTGGCAGGGAGGAGACCCTTCACAGGAGCTGTCACAGGGACCCCCAGGAAGTCACTGGGATGGAGGCGTCCGTGCACCGTGGGGGATAGGCTCACACTGCTGAACCGTCAGGACCCCAGGCAGGCGCACCGGCGGAGGCAGATGTTTCTGCACAGACTGGCGTCTCCTGGTCCCGGCTAGAAATCCTGCCACAGAGACTCCCACAGGGAGCGTCTTTTCCAAAGCGCGGACAGATGTGTGTTTGAGACTTTGGAGAACACTCTGAGGGATTTGGTAGAAAGACGAGATGACTCCCTGTGTCAGTGAGTGTGTGGCACAGGCGGAGAAAACAGACAAGGAGCTGTCTTTGGGTGGACGACAGGAGACCGGAGAGGACAGCTTGGTATGGGTAGGGCTGGGCAGTGCCACCTGAAGGGCTGGCTTCTCAGTCAGGCAACCCCATCCACCTGGCCAGCCACACTGAGCCTGTCACGTCTGTCACAGGCCCTGCTCATCAACGAGGAAAACGAGGGGTTCTGTGGTGGCACCATTCTGAGCGAGTTCTACATCCTCACTGCAGCCCACTGTCTCTACCAAGCCAAGAGATTCAAGGTGAGGGTAGGTAAGTGACCAACAGCCCCCAGGGCCGTGGTGGGAGGCACAGTCACTGTCTGCTTTTCAGAGACCACTAGAGCTGATGGAATTTGTTGGGAACACTGGTTAAAATCCTGAAATCCTATTTGTGGGGGTTGGGGCGTTTCACAGAGGAAGATTAGGAAGCGGAGGAAGGGGAAGAGTGGGGAGGGGGACGGGGAGGGGGAGGGGGAGGGGAAGCAGCCCAACCCTTCTCCCACTGGGTGTCCAGGTCTCGGGTCTCGGAGTCTGTGGGTCCCGGGTCTCTGGGTCTCTTTGTCCAGCTAATGTTTTATGTCTCAGTGTTTTTTATTGGGAGCCCTCCAGACCTCCCTCACTCTTTAACATACTCTGAGCACCAAGCACCTCTGTCTCTTCTATTTTTATTTGTAAGATTGTTTCATTAGCATCTGTCTTTGTCCACTAGAGCTGCTCAGTGCAAACCCAACACAAGCTACAAATGCAAAGCAATATATGTAAACTGGTATTTTTCTAACACTAAATGTTCTATTATACATTTTTAAATATAAAAAACAGGCTGGGCGCGGTGGCTCACGCCTGTAATCCCAGCACTTTGGGAGGCTGAGGCGGGTGGATCACCTGAAGTCAGGCGCTCGAGATCAGCCTGGCCAGCATGGTGAAACCCCATCTCTACTAAAAAATACAAAAATTAGCCGGGCGTGGTGGCACAGGCCTGTAATCCCAGCTACTCAGGAAGCTAAGGCAGAAGAACCATGAATCTGGGAGGCGGAGGTTGCAGTGAGCCGAGATTGTGCCACTGCACTCCAACCCGGTGACAGAGCAAAACTCTGTCTCACAAAAAATACATATATATATATGTATGTATGTATATAGGTGTATATATATATATGTATATATACACACATATATACAGATTTTCATAATCTATCTTATTTAACTCAACATGTTGAAAATATTTTTTCCACGTGTAATCATGTTAAAGGCGCAATAACACATTCTGCACATTTTCTTTCATGCTAAGTCTCTATTTTACGCTCATGGCACAACCATTTTACATTCTCGGCCGGCAGCCACACCGCACAGCCTGAGTCCGGGATGCCAAGCCTTTGGCCCTGGTACACCTCATTGGTGCCCACGACTGGCACGGAGGATGCACCTGCCCAAGGACACAGGAGTGGTGGCCGTCCAAAGAACCAAACGTGTGAGACATGACCAGTGGTTCCCTGGGTAGCAAGGCTGACGGTCATTTTTATTTGCTGCTTTGCATTTCCCTCTATTTTCCAAGTTTTCAAAAGTGACCACGTACCATTTTTAATTAAAAAAAAAAAAATCCTTAAAAAGCAACAGATGTGCGAAAGCATGTCCCCGGCTGAGCTGAGCACAGTCCCCCCCGTCTGTCCCAGGGGACCGGGACATGGAGAAGGAGGAGGGCGGCGAGGCGGTGCACGAGGTGGAGGTGATCATCAAGCACAACCGGTTCACAAAGGAGACCTATGACTTCGACATCGCCGTGCTCCGGCTCAAGAACCCCATCACCTTCCGCATGAACGTGGTGCCCGCCTGCCTCCCCGAGCGCGACTGGGCCGAGTCCACGCTGATGACGCAGAAGACGGGGATTGTGAGCGGCTTCGGGCGCACCCACGAGAAGGGCCGGCAGTCCACCAAGCTCAAGATGCTGGAGGTGCCCTACGTGGACCGCAACAGCTGCAAGCTCTCCAGCAGCTTCATCATCACCCAGAACATGTTCTGTGCCGGCTACCACGCCAAGCAGGAGGACGCCTGCCAGGGGGACAGCGGGGGCCCCCACGTCACCCGCTTCAAGGACACCTACTTCGTGACAGGCATCGTCAGCTGGGGAGAGGGCTGTGCGCGGAAGGGGAAGTACGGGATCTACACCAAGGTCACCGCCTTCCTCAAGTGGATCGACAGGTCCATGAAAACCAGGGGCTTGCCCAAGGCTGAGCGCCCTGCCCCAGAGGCCAGCACGTCCTCTCCATTAAAGTGAGATCCCACGCAAGGCCTGGTATGTCTCTCGATTGCCGCCTTGCTCTGGCTTCTCCCGCCGTTGGGGTGGGAAGGTGAAGTACGTCTGGAACCCCAGCTCCTGCCCTTCCCAGCTGGGCTGGGGATTCCTCCAGGGAATGTTCTAGTCTGTTCTAGATGGGCAGGATGGAGGCTCCAAGGATGATACTGTGCCGTGACTGCCATGGGCATTCCTTTCCCTGGAAAGCTTCCTGTGTCTGGGTCACACCCAGAGGCAGGTGGGAGCCTGTGCAGGCCCCGTGGGGTCGGGAGGGGCCCACACGCTGGCATGTCCTCCCCAAGACCTCCCACCTGGCCTGGTCTCTCTTGTTCCCCTTGGGAACTGGACACCTCCCCGGTGACTGCCTATGACTCACAGACTCCCAGTAGGGAAACGTCCAGAAAGCCTCTTGTTGGGGCGGACGTTTTGCATTGACCTAAACCACCAGGTGCTCTTCAACCGCATGGTGCCAGGCCCCACCCCAGCTTAGGCTTGCATGGTGGGGGTGCACGGACATCCCCGCCCCGGGTGGGTGACCTGCTCACCAGGCAGTGACCTACCTCGCACCGTGGGCCCCACCCTGGCCACCCTTAGAACCCCCTGGGGGCTTTAGCATGCCTGCATCCAGGCCACAGCCTGGCCCCTGAAATCAGTCTCTGGAGTGAAGCTGGCCAGGAGCTTCTGGAAGCTTCTGGAGCGCCTCAGGTGCTGAGTGGTGGTGGTGTGGTAGGAGGGGCTTCAGGGGGCTCCTCCTCCTCTCCTCGGGTCCAGATGTTGAGTCCTTACCCCGCTCCATCTGGCACTGTCCCTAGGCCTCAAGTTAAATGGCCATGAAAACCAAGTGAACCTTCAGTAAACAGAAAAGATTCCAGACAAGGCCTGCCATGTCTCCCAAACATCCCCTGCAATTTGCGTCTTGTGTAATGTCCCTAAGCAAAGTTCAACAGTTCTAGTACAAAAACTCCCCCAAAAAGTCATGAGCTGGGCAAAACCGTTCGTAAACAGATGTTGCAAAGTTAGGGAAAATCAAAGTGGACAGGTGTTCGACCTCCCAGAAACAGTCCGAGGAGGGGCCTGTCTCCCAAGGTGGGTGGGAGGGCGTTCCTGGCCTGCCCGCTCTGAGGCCTTCTCCGTGGAGGCAGCTGTCGGGCTCCTCGCCAGCCCTTGCTGGAGGAGAGGCTTCTACCTCGGAACTAGCGTGTAGTTGGGCTGCATTTCCTAGGCAGCAGCGTGGTCCCCACGGCCCCAGAGGTAAACCCTGGACTTGGATTCCCGTTTCTGGAAATCAAAGGTTGAGTGGGGTCCAGAGAGAACTCTGGGGAAAAATTTACAAGTGAAGCCCGCCATCGCCGTCCCTGTCTGCACCCCTGGTACCTGCCACACTGGGTGCCCGGTGCCCGTGCCCGTCTCGGGATAGAAAGGAAACCGGAGGCTGCAGAGAGAAGGGCCTGGGGGGTCGCAGCTCAGCATCTGCCGAAGCCCCATCCAGAAATAGGGTCTCGTCCAGGGAGGTGCGGGAGGAGAGGCCCCAGTCCTGGACGCATGCTCGGTGTTAACATCTCAGCTCTGTGGGCTCCTTCGCTGCTGTGGCGGGGATTTTCTCTCTGCCTGAACATCTCCTTCTTCATAAGTAAAGGCAAGTGGGTTAAACCCATGTCATCTCCATGTTAACTCAGAATGGGCTAGGCCTGGGCCAGGGGACACTCTATGACCTGAGACCCCCCAGAATTCCCTGAGGGAAGCCCAGCTCTGTTTCGGGAAATAACTGAAGTGGCTGCTTGTGTGAGGTGAGACCCTGAACACTGCACGCAGCAGGCGGTCACGGTGGGGAGCAAAGACGGGGGAAGTGATTCCCCCCGACAGTGAGGGAGAGACAACCTGCAGCAAAGCCCCATCGCCTCCCCCAGTGACTCCTCCGCTGCCCCTGGGAGACACCTCAAATTCTCCAAACCTTGCTTCCCTCTGCCCTCCTAGAGCTTGGCCATTTCAGCACATGCACTGCCATCCTCCCAATCGCTCAGCCCAAACCTTGAAGCCATGCTGCCCGACCCAGTTCATCACGAATCCCATCAGCTTCCCCTTCGTGAAGCATCCAGACTGCAAACGTGCTTCCCGCTGCATGGCTGCACCCCCGCCCCGTCTGGGACTAGCCACCAGCCTCCCTTTTGACTTCTCTGGAATGTTCTGTTCTCCACACAGCAGCCACAGTGATCCCTTCAGAGCACAAATCTTTCCATGTCAATTCCTCTTCCCTCCAATATCTTCCCAACACAGTAGAAAGGAAACACCAGGTTCTTACCTCAGGCTTCAAGTGCTGATATGGTTTGGCTGTGTCCCCTCCCAAATCTTGTCTTGAACTGTAATTGCCATAATCCCCACGTGTCGAGGGAGGGACCCGGTGGGCGGTGATTGGATCATGGGGGTGGTTTCTGCCATGCTGTTCTTGGGACAGTGAGTCTCATGAGATTTGATGGTTTTATAAGCATCTGGCATTTCCGCTGCTTGCACTCGTTCTCTCTGCTGCCACCCTGTGAAGAGGTGCCTTCTGCCATAATTGTAAGTTTCCTGAGGCCTCCCCAGCCATGTGGAACTGGGAGTCAACTAAACCTCTTTTCTTAAATTACCCGATCTTGGGTATTTCTTCATAACAGTGTGAGAAGGGACTAATACAAAGGGCCTACATCTGAAAGCAGCAAACTACAATCCTAGGGCCAAATCTGGCCCCTTAATAGCTCTTATAAATAAAGCTTTATTGGCACAAAACCAAGTGTTCATTCAGGATTGCCTGTGCTGCCTCTGATACAATGGTGCTGAGCTGTAGTGACAGACACCATTTGGCCCTTCCCCCCTTTCTCCCTCCTCCCTCCCTCCCTTCCTTTTCTCCCCTTCCTTCCATCCTCCATCCTTCTCTCCCTCACTCCCTCCTTTTTCTTTCCCTCGTTCCTTCCTGTGTATTCCACGTACACTTAGAACATAAGCTGCATTGTGACTTTGTCCTGCCCACTGCTGTGTCCCCAGGCTGGGGCTGTGCCTGTCTCACCTCCAACTCACTACACACGGCATGGGTGTCACCTTCCACCTTGCACCTGCTGCCTTTACCCTCCATTCTCTGTCTCCCTAAATATCTCCCAGGGCCCTCTGAGCCTTCACTGTTCATTTCTCTGCCTGGCCTCAAACAGAAAACGTCAGGAGGGAAGCACACAGCTGCGCAGGTCATGCCCCAAGGCTCCTGCTGCCAGCACCTCCCCCAGCCTGGACTTTGGCTGTGTTTGCAGCCCTGTCCCAGTGCTGTGGGTGGGAATGGCAGGCTGCATCCCGCTGCTCCGGGGCCTGGTCCTGGTCCTCGCCCTCCAGCGTGCGGAGCCCTCAGGTAGGCGTCTGGCTTACCTGTCCGTCGTGCCTGTGCTGTGTCCTTGATTCAGTCCACGGTAGATTTGTAGATGACACTTTTCCCAGGAGCCGGAGGAGCCCTGAGTGCCCAGACTTGTCTTAATTCCCCTGAAAAAGCCGTTTAGGTCTTTATCATTTGGTGACAAGTATTTGGGACACGATGGTGTCACTTGGGGTCCTCCCAAGAGATGCCCAAATGGAAAGAAGCGTGTGTGCAGGAGATTCGGTGGGGAAAGGCCGGGGAGGGGAAAGGGGGGAAGAGTGGGGGCCCAGGCCTGGGCTGGGCATTGGACGGGGGGGAGGGGGTGGGGCAGGCCGAGCCCCGACTGCAATGTGGGCAGAGAGTGCTTTGGCCAGGCCGGCCGGGAGTGCTCAGTCTTGAGTCAGGAGACACAGCCAGGGAGCAGCCACCCTGCCCGCCTGCCACCCTTCTACCACCAGCCACTTTGCTGGAGGAACAGACACGGACTCCATCCTGACTCTGCCTGCACAGATGTCCAGGAAAGCTAGAAGTCAAACACCCAGCGTCGCTGTTGGCCCCATGGTCTCCCCCTGGCCCCATGGTCTCCCGCCTGAGAGGCTGAACCCCCGCCCCCACCGCCCTGCCCAGCACTTACCGTGGCCGGACTTAGCTGAGCCATCCCTGCTGTAACCCTCAGCACCGAGAGAAAGGGAGGGAGGATGTGAAGGGCCTGGGCTTTGACCCTCTGGGAGAGGGAGAGAACGTGCTTTGGGGCCCTTGGGCAGGAAGAGCCTCTAGAGACCACAGCTGCAGGCCGACTGGTTTGCCTTCTCCTCCTGGAAATCGCAGGGCCTGCTGCAATGTATAAGTTTCTTCTCTTTGTGTTTTATCAAGATGTTAAATCCTGTGCACAGAGGCAGCACAAGAGCTGATGGCTCTTGGTCCCCAGTTCTCAGCATGGTGACCTTTGACCCCAGCTCGGCCTTCCTTCACACTCGGACCCAAAACTCAGTTGGAGCCCTCCCTCCTCCACTTTCCCGACTGAGGCCCGTGGCCTCTCTGCAGAACCTTAGTGTATCTGCACTGATCCCGGGGCTGGTTCACTCACCCAGAGGATGAAGTGCTTGCCTACCTCGGGGGAGGGAGTGGCGGGGTGGTCCTGAGGCCCTCGCAGGCGGAGGGGGCAGGCAGGGGCTGGCGGCTGGCTGGGGAGGAAGCCAGGCAGTTCTGGAAAGCAGGGCCCTCGGTGCTCCCAGTCACCGTCTTCTTGTCTTGTCTGTAGTATTTCTCCCGGCCTCCAAAGCAAACAACGTTCTCGTGAGGTGGAAGCGTGCGGGCTCCTATCTCCTGGAAGAACTCTTCGAGGGAAACTTGGAAAAAGAATGTTACGAAGAAATCTGTACCTATGAAGAAGCAAGAGAAGTGTTCGAAAATGAAGTAGTCACTGTATGTACCCCCCACCATGAACCACAGGCTTCCTCGTTATTTAGACTTCTGCTGACCCAGGGAGCATCATTTCTCAGCGATTCAGCTTAATTAATTAGCCTATTTACTTACCGATGAGGTTAACACAATCCCAGTTTTACAGATGAGGAAACAATTTACAGAAGTGACTTAACCCACCCACTGATCCACTCTTACCTACAGCAGGTGAGTGGGGCCGGAAGTCAGCTCAGACCCCACTGGACTTTCCTCAGGTCAGGCAAGGCCCACACACTGACCAGATAGTCCAACACACACACCACCCAGCTTGCGGTGACTTTCAGAGAACTTCATGCTTTTAACGGAGACCTTAAAAAAAAACTTGAAAACAGAAACGTCCTCTCTGGGATGCCACATAGAAAGAAAATCATAATCCATGCTTGGGATTACATAAATGATTTGCTTCACATGTGACTGTGTGTATGCTCTACATAACACAAATAAGAATTTGCTATTTTATTTATTTATTTTTTGTATTTTTTTGAGACAGAGTCTTGCTCTGTGGCCCAGGCTGGAGTGCAGTGGTGTGATCTTGGCTCACTGCAAGCTCCGCCTCCCGGGTTCAAGTGATTCTCCTGCCTCAGCCTCCCAAGTAGCTGGGACTACAGGTGCCTGCCACGACACCCGGCTAATTTTTTTTGTATTTTTAGTAGAGACGGGGTTTCACCATGTTGGCCAGGATGGTCTCAATCTCCTGACCTCATGATCCACCCACCTTGGCCTCCCAAAGTGCTGGGATTACAGGCGCGAGCCACCGCGCCCAGTCTAAAATTGATTCTAAATTAAATGTTGACCTGTTTCTCTAGTATAATTTTTAATGTTTTTAAAATTCTAGTTTCTTAAATACCTATCTATAAGACAACTCTTATGAAACAGACCGTTTTTAATACAACTCAGAGAAACCCTAAAGGCATGTGAAAAGTGTAAAAATTTTTCAAAGTATTTTGCCCTAAATTTCATTTTTCAAACTTCCTGGTACAGAAAATTGTTTTTCATTTACTACTTATGACATTATTCAAGTTGTTAGAAGTCTAAATATGATCTTGGGATATGCCATTTTTTATACATTTTCTTTCCAGGTTTCAAGTCTGAATAATTCTCCTAATTTTAGATACTCCTACTCCAAACTAAGCGTCCCCACTCCCCACACAGGTACCTATCTCTAAAATTCAACTTGGTTTATAAAAAGTGAAAAGGTGATGTGACTTCTATATCACATGCTTTTGTGGAGGGTGGCGTGGAGATTGGCCCTAGGAGGGAAGGGCCACATTAGGGGCTGTGTGTGGCGGGTTTGTGCCACGTCACAGACTCCGGCTTTCCTCAAATAGGTGGTGGTAAGCACATGTTGAGTAATTTATCTTACAGATACATCTAGTTACTACACATTTAACATAAACAAGCTGTAAAACAGGAAAACTGTGCATTGTTTCAAACACTGTTGTCCTATTAGGTGAATAAAATCAACATTTTCTTACCTTCATCTACAGGAAAGAATATAGAAAAACAAATGTCCCATTTGTAACACTTTTATGTTTTAATTCTAAAGGATGAATTCTGGAGACGATATAAGGGTAAGCGGTTTCCTTCATCTCCTCAGAAGTATTAATTCCTCGGGATGAGGTGAGGGGGTCGGCTTAGGACGCTTCATGACCCCAGGTCAGCGGATGCCAAGCCTTTGGCTCCAGAACCCATGATGTCTCTCCAGGGAAGGGCACAGCTCGGACTCTACCCAAGGACCAGGTCAGGAAGTCCCCGGGTTCTGCCCCCAGGGCCACAGGCAGCAGCTGGTTTGTCTTGCCCAGCGTCTGGGTAGTTTCTGGGCACTCTGGGACACAGGCCACAGGCCAGGAGGCCCCCCCAGAGCAGCTCCTCCATCTGCCTGGCTCCTGGGCTCCTCCAGCTGCCTGGTTCCTGGGCACCTGGGCTCCTGGTTCTTGGGCTCCTGGGCAGCTGGGCTCCTGGCTCCTGGGCTCCTGGGCTCCTCCATCCACCTGGGCTCCTGGGCTCCTGGTTCCTGGCTCCTGGCTCCTGGGCTCCTGGCTCCTGGGCTCCTCCATCCACCTGGCTCCGGGGCTCCGGGGCTCCTCCATCCACCTGGGCTCCTGGCTCCGGGGCTCCGGGGCTCCGGGGCTCTTCCATCCACCTGGGCTCCTGGCTCCTGGCTCCTGTGCTCCTGGCTCCTGGGGAGCCTCATGCTGCAGCAGGGTCAGAACCCGTCTCAAATTTTGGAAAGTGATGGCCCCATGGAGACTTTGGTTGCGGGACTCTTCCCGAGGGAAGAGTTCTAGGTGGGCAACTGCAGAAGAGCATGGGACAGAAGTGACGTGGATGGAGACCCACAGGGCTGGGGGAGGCCTGGGAATGAGTAAGCAAAGAGCTGCAGCCACCACCAGACAAGCAGGGGGACAACTGGGCACAGAAAGAAGCGGGAGAGGCCCAGGAGGCCAGAGAAGGGCTGACGGGGCGGGACAGAGGGGCCACACGCGGACGAAGAAAGGGTGCCCAGCAGAGCGGGAGGCACCGGCAGCCAGCCCTACGTTCTGAGCGGGAGTGTCCTGGGGGCCAGGCGACAGCATGGGGAGCAGCACGAGTGGGCTCAGTCCCCATCCCTGCCATCCCCTGCCCCCCAGCCTCCTCCTGCTCAGGTCCCCGTCTCTGCCCCCTCCTCCCATCCTCCTCCTGCTCAGGTCCCCATCCCTACCGCCTCCCCCACCCTCCTCCTGCTCAGGTCCCCATCCCTACCACCTCCCCCACCCTCCTCCTGCTCAGGTCCCCATCCCTGTCACTCCACCCTCCTCCCGCTCAGGTGCTCAGGTCCCTGTCCCTGCTGCCACCCCCTATTCCATCCTCCTCCTGCTCAGGTCCTCGTTCCTGTCACCACCACCCCGACCCCCACCCTCCTCCTGCAGGTGGCTCCCCGTGCATCTCCCAGCCCTGCCTCCACAACGGATCTTGTCAGGACAGCATCTGGGGCTACACCTGCACCTGCTCCCCCGGCTATGAGGGCAGCAACTGCGAGCTGGGTGAGGCCCTGGCCGTCCCCTTCCCCCAGGACCTCCCTGGGCAGGCAGGCCTCACATCCTCGGCCAGGGTCCAAGTGGGCCCCTCCTGGGGTGTAGACACGAAGGTGCCTGTGCGAACCACAGTTTGGCTCACCCCAGTGGATTCCTCTCGTCCCAACCAGATTCTCCTCTGGAAGCCACACCCGGCGGGGCTGGTGGAATTCTGAGCTGCCCCTTCCAGACAGTCCCCCATACTTTTCATGGCATGGGCCTCCTCTCCTCCCCACCCCCACCGCAACCATTCGCAATCTGCTCACAGGCTGGGGGTCACACACAGGCGTCCTCAGGGCTGGACCTACCCCAGTGGGAGACTGCAGACCAGGAAGACGAAAAGCACATGAACAAATACCCTTAAATACCCGCCAAATGTCAGTGTCCGTAATCGCCAACTACAGCAACAAGTGTGCTCCGTCCTCAGCACCACTGGTCAACTCGGAGCCCATTTCTCTGGGGAAAAACCTTCCTTCCAGCCCAGCCCTCTCCTCCGAAATCCGGATTTCTGCTCCATCTGCCTCCTTGATGCCTCAGCTAGTGCCTTCACAGACATCCCAAATTTACCACGCACCAAACGGGGCTTTGACCTTCACCCACCTGCCCCTTTCTTAATCTCCTCCCTCTGGGTGGAAAGCCCCCATCCCAGCGGCTCGGCCAGCACTGACGTCTCACTCACCCCTCCCACGACCCCTCCTCAAAGCAGCACATTAAAGGGAACAGCCAATGCAAGGCAGCAGAGGAAACAGGCGCGTGCATTACAGTCCACGTGGAAATACATCCAGGGCCACGTTTTCTAAGGACAGATGGAAGTGCCGTCACTCATGGAGTCTTTTTTAAACATTTTGGTTTTTTTTTTTTTTTTGAGGCAGAGTCTTGCTCTGTCGCCCAGGCTGGAGTGCAGTGGCGCAGTCTCGGTTCACTGCAAGCTCCGCCTCCCGGGTTCACGCCATTCTCCTGTCTCAGCCCCCCAGTAGCTGGAACGACAGGCACCCGCCACCTCGACTGGCTCATTTTTGTATTTTTAGTAGAGACAGGATTTCACCGTGTTAGCCAGGATGGTCTCTATCTTCTGACCCCGTGATCTGCCCACCTCAGCCTCCCAAAGTGCTGGGATTACAGATGTGAGCCACCGGGCCCGGCCTCACTTATGGAGTCTTTGTTTTATATGCACATTCCTGAAATATGGAAGTGTGGCAAACACTGACACAAAGGGCAACGGTCTGAAGAGAATGAGGACACATGGACCAAAACACCAGAACTCTGTGTGCAAGGCTGTGATCAAATGCCAAGCCAGCATTTCTGTTTTTTTTTTTTTCTTTTTCCTTTTCAGCTAAAAATGAATGTCACCTGGAGCGGACTGATGGGTGTCAACACTTCTGCCTCCCAGGACAGGAATCCTACACGTGCAGCTGTGCTCAAGGCTACAGGCTTGGTGAGGACCGCAAACAGTGCATTCCCCACGGTGAGTGCTCAGACCACAGCAGCCTCCAGCTTCCAGTGCCAGTGACCCTGTCCACATCCTCCTTCCTTCTTCTGTAGTATTGGGTGAAGCCCATGGATTTATGATAAGGAGTTGCCACGACTCAGAAGGTGGTCCGCGTCTCCATGCTGGAGCAATGGCAATGCTAGAAAGTGCAGTTTCTGTCACTCGTGCTTGCTCGGACCACTCTGAGCTAAACCATGAGCGCTGTGAGGGGGTGGTTTAATGCCAGTCTGCATGTCTGTGTGAATTATTGCACATTCATCAGCATTAAGGATACGATCATAATGGTTAGTACCATAGCCGGAATTATGCAATGGTTAACACCATAGACAGAGTCCGATATTCACTGGGAAGGCGCTGATTTTTATTCTCATGTTGCTGCCGCAAATGCAGACCAGTGTGCCTGTGGGGTGCTGACCTCCGAGAAGCGTGCACTGGATCTACAGGATCTCCCGTGGCAGGTAACAGAGCGCTCTCCGCGTGCTTCAATTTATTGTTACGACTTTCACCTTACTTGTCATTTCCTAAATAGAAATGTAATGACTAAGTGAATCAGTCATCCTGACTTCGATGGGCTATTGACTGCACTGACTGACCTCTATTCACACTTCAAAGTGTTTTCTAATGCCAAGTTCATAACTTCAGCTGTCTTCATTGTTTGCCCCAAATACAAAAGGACAGCATTATTTACAGCCCCCAAGACCTTTCCTCTGCAGTTCCAAACTGTTACCAATGTCATTTCCTCAGAACATAAGCATCTCGAAGTCACAGCACACCTGGGAAGAGCTTCAGCGATGGGCTCTGCCCCAACCTGGGGACCTGGTGTCACCACAGAGCGGCTGAGCGGCAGCTTGGGCACCAGCTCAGGCACCGACTCTGCTCTCGGCTGCTGGCCTGGCTGGCATTCTAGCTTTGTTATTTTGCTCACTAAATTTCTCTAGTTTGGCATTCATTTTTGTTCTCCTCCTTTTCCCTTCCTTGGCTGATTTAGAACTTAACCATTCACTTGTTTTGGGGGGTTTTTTTTGTTTGTTCTGTTTTGTTTTGAGATGGAGACTCGATCTGTCACCCAGCCTGAAGTGCAGTGGTCCAGTCCCGGCTCACTGCAACCTCCGCCTCCTGGGCCCAAGCGCTTCTCTTGCCTCAGCCTCCAGAGTAGCTCGTATTACAGGCACACACCACCACGTTCGGCTGATTTTTATCTTTTTAGTAGAGACGGGGTTTTGCCATATTGGACAGGATGGTCTCGAATGCCTGATCTCAAGTGACCCACCCGCCTCAGCCTCCCAAAGTGCTGGGATTACAGGCGTGAGCCTCCATGCCTGGCCTCATCTTCACTTTGTTTATTTAATGGTCACTCTTGACACATAAACATCCATATTCAGCACATGTAAAGTCAGCTATTTCTCCCTCCTCAGGCTAATTCCCAGCACCTCATTCTGGGTCCATTTGCTGTCTGGCCAGTATTTTATTCTTTTCTTGCTTTCTGTATAGCTTCACAAAATGGATATTACAATTTTTATTATTATGGTTTTATGCCACCAACACTGGCTTTGATTTACTTACCTCATTTTCCACTTTCCTTGCCTTTCACACCTCTAACACTATCATCTCCTTCTGCCTGAGTATATCCTTCAAAACAGCCTTGTCCAACAGAAACGCAATGTAAACCACATAATTTAAAATTTTCTAGTAGCCACAATAAGTAAAAGCATGTGAAATTAATTTTGATAATACATTTTATTTAACCCAATATGTGTCACTATTTCCCCATGTAATGAATATAAACATTATTGAGGCGTTTATCTTTTTCCTTTACACTGAATCTTTGGAATCTGGTGTGAATTTACACTGAGGTGCAGCCCTCATGTCCACATCTGTACCCGGTGTGGCGGCCGTGTGGATGGCACAGCCTCAGGGGCCCCCTTCATGAGGGCCTGTGAGTAACAAGCCCCTGAAGTTTCTGTGTGTGACATGCTTCAGTTTCACCTGATTCTTACAAGATAGCTCTGCCCAGCCCACTCTGGCAGCTGTGTGGACTGGGAGAGAACAGGATGGAGCTCAAGGACTTGAAGCCACCCAGCTCCAGGGTGGAAAGGAAGAGACTGAAGGGAGGCAAAGCAGACAGAGTGATGGAAGGCGGGGATGGAAGCAGGAATGGCCTATCACCAGCTTTGTAAACTTCCTCTCAATCTTTTATCACCTTTCCTCCCTAAGCTTTCTAAAACAGCTCTTCCTATCGCTGTCTGCCCCATGAGTGCACTGAGGGTCGGAACCTGGGAGGCCCAGAGTGCAGTGGTCCTCCATAGGTGGTGACAGGGTCTGGCTCTACCACCTGCAGGCTGTCTCCAGCTTCCCAGCTTACCCAACTGAAGACGGGGCGCGGTTCTAGTCTGTAGCCGCAGCGCTCATACCGGCAAGGCTGAGTCATATAACCGAGGAGGTGGCATTCTCTAAACACAGCTGGTGTTTCAGACACAGGACATTATTGGCTCAGGCAGGCTACATACTGTTAGATTTTTACTCCAGTATTAGACATTGTTCTGAAGTTATTTAACTGGATATATGGAATTTCCCTAAAACAAACTTTGAAAAGGAGAATAATTAAGTGACCTAGCAGGATATAGGGTTGAAGATTATTTTTAGAACTTCCTTGTTTCTTACATCCTAGGGAAGAAATTTTACTAAAAGTCTGGCAGACTGATGGCATAAGTGCCGCCTTCTCTCGAACTTGGTTTTATCCCCTTTAAAGTGAGGATCTCACCCCCAGAGTTGCAGTGAGGATTACAGAGAATGTTCTTGACTTATGGTAGGTATTCAACAAGTGGCAGCTATTACTAAAGAGTTCCAGGAACGATGCCACGGTCAAGTTTAAAACTCTTTTTTACTTTGCTCAGCATTTTGTATTTTATCAGACTGTTGAAAATTGTAGGCCGGGCGCGGTGGCTCAAGCCTGTAATCCCAGCACTTTGGGAGGCTGAGACGGGCGGATCACGAGGTCAGGAGATCGAGACCATCCTGGCTAACACGGTGAAACCCCGTCTCTACTAAAAATACAAAAAACTAGCCGGGCGAGGTGGCGGGCGCCTGTAGTCCCAGCTGCTCGGGAGGCTGAGGCAGGAGAATGGCGTGAACCCGGGAGGCGGAGCTTGCAGTGAGCTGAGATCCGGCCACTGCACTCCAGCCCGGGCGACAGAGCAAGACTCCGTCTCAAAAAAAAAAAAAAAAAAAAGAAAATTGTAACACTTAACACTTCCAGAGCCAGCACCCGTACTATGTGGGTACATGCTTTATTTCATTTAATCCTTCAAATAACTTGTTTTCTCCTTTTGCATCCCTGATAATATTATTTGCTCTAAGATCTCCTTTGTCTGATATTGATATAGCCACTTTAGCTTTCTAATTATTAGTGTTAGCATTATTTATCTTTTTCCAATCTTCTACTTTTAACCTATTTGTATTTTTATAAAGTACATGTTTAAAAAATAAGGTACATGTTTTATATGTAGTATATAATTGGCTTTCATTTATATCTCTCTGTCTTTTAATTGGGGTATTTAGGCCATTTTACATTTATTATAATTGCTGATATGTTTAGGGTTAAAGCTATCATCTTGCTATTTTTTTTTCTCATCTGTTCTTTCCCCCTTTTTCTGCCTTCTGTTAGATTAACTATATCTTGTTAGGATTCTGTTTTCACTCCTTTGTTGGTTTACCATCTCTGGTTCTTTGCTGGTGGTTGCTTCCCAGTTTGGAGAATACATCTTTACCGTATCACAGTCCACTCCACCTTGACCGACGCCACATCCGCTCGCTGTAGCGTGAGTCCTTAGCTGGGACCGCAGGTGTGCACCACCACCACGCACAGCTAGTTTTTAAATTTCATGTAAAGACGGGGTCTTGCTATGTTGCTCAGGCTGGTCTCAAATTCCTGGGCTCAAGCAATCCTTCCACCTCTGCCTCCCAAAGTGCTGGGATTACAGGCACAAGCCACCGTGCCCAACCGGCCCATTATTTTCAGATTTTTTTTTCTCTCCTCCTTCTCCCTGCTCTTTTTTGGGAATCTAACTACATGTATCTTAAGCTGTTTGAAGTTCCATAGCTCAGAGATGGTCTGTTCGTTTTTCAAAAATCTCCTTTCTCTCCGTGTTTTACTTCTGATAGCTTCTGTTGTGATGCCGTCAAGGTCATCCATCTGTTCTTTTGCAATGTCTAATCTGCCATTCATCCTAGGCAGGGGATGTTTAACCTCATACACTGTAGCTGTCATCCAAAAATTTAATTTAGGCTTTTAAAACTACATATTTTTGTCTCTACTTCACTTTTTGAATATTTGGACTATAGTTACAATCACTGTTTAATTGTCCTTGTCTACTCATATCTGTCCATGCTGCCTCAGTTTTGGGAGATTTTTATGGGTCACATTTTCCTGTGTGTTTGTGTGCCTGGTGATCCGTAATGGGTTTCCAGACATTGTGAATTTTATCTTGTTAGGTGCTGAATATTTTGTGCTCGATACATACACTTGGATATTGTCCTGGGACTCGGTTAAGTTGGAAATACTTTCATCCTTTGGCATACTGCTCTTCAGATCTGTCAGTAGGACCAGGGCAGTGCTCCGTCTAGAGTTATTCTGAGTACTGAAGTGAAACCCTTCTGTGCATCCTGCCCCGTGCCCCCGAGTCAGGGATGTTTTAACTCAGCTGGTGGAATCGCTATTCCCAGCCCGTGTGAGTGTCTAGCACGGGTCCTGCTCACCCTCCTGAGTGGTTCTTTCCTGGCCATTATTAGTCTCCATGTGCACATGTGATCACCACTGCTCTGCTGAAAACTGCTAGGCATGCGGCCATCCTCCAGCATTCTCTACCAAGCTCTCTCCTCTGAAGGACTCTGTTCTGCAAACTCCAGGCACTGTGGCCTCACTGGGCTCTCAGCTTTCTCTCTTCAATTTAGGGAGGTGGCAGGGCTCCAACTGAGATGCCCCGTCCTGCCCTGTGCCAGGGAAATTCTGGACAGTAGCTGAGACAGGTTGTTTCTTGGGGATTACAGTCCCTGAAAACCATCATTTCACAGATTTTGTCCATGTTTTGCTTCAGGTGGGAGGGTCAGTCTGATCACTGTTACCTCACCTGGGCTGAAAGGGGAAGTGCCGGCCCCATTTAATCCCTGAGCAAATAAAAGCTTAGATTGTCAGCAATTCGCTAACAATCCTGTAGCCATTTGAGTGCTGGGGCAAGATTCAAATACGGCTGTCTGCCTTTGGAGTCCATATCCCTAACCAGTAGACTTTACTGCACCTAATCCTGCAAACAGCTATTTATTGCCTGTTTTGATTTTTAAAGGTAAAGTTAACAAATGCCGAAGGAAAAGACTTCTGTGGTGGTGTTATAATACAGGAAAACTTTGTACTGACAACAGCAAGATGCTCACTGTTACACAGGAATATTAGTGTAAAAACATGTAAGTATTTTATCATGAGTTTTTATAAAACCACATTGGAAATACACTATTCTATGTAAGAATGAAATGAAAAATTTAAAATTGGACCGTTTGTTTCTAATGCAACATAGAACTGAATTTACTGTCAATAAAACTGAGATACTTATAAATTCAGAAAGCACATGCAAAATACCTAGCACACACCGGGGTCCAGCGACGGGCAAGTGCTAACTCACACTCGGCAAGGGAGGGAATCGCGACGGGCAAGTGCTAACTCACACTCAGCAAAGGAGGGAATCGCGACGGGCAAGCGCTAACTCACACTCGGCAAGGGAGGCAATCACTACAGGCAAGTGCTAACTCACACTCAGCAAAGGAGGGAATCGCGACGGGCAAGCGCTAACTCACACTCGGCAAGGGAGGGAATCACGACGGGCAAGTGCTCACACTCAGCAACAGAGGAAATCACAGCCTACTAAGGATGACTTCTTTTCCCACTGAAATCGAGCAGTTGTGGCATAAGAGATGGGTAATTGACTAAAAATCAGAAGAATGGGGCTCGAATCCCTCAGCAGTTAAGACCTTGGGCTGAGACAGTGGCCTTTTCATTGGCTTATCTGTGCCTATTTCTTTTTTTTCTTTTTTTTCTTTATTGAGACAGAGTCTCACTCTATCCCTCAGGCTGGAGTGTAGTGGCACGATCTGGGCTCACTACAACCTCCGCCTCCCAGGTTCAAGCGATTCTCATGCCTCAGCCTCCCAAGTAGCTGGGATTACAGGCGCCTGCCACTGTGGTCGGCTAATTTCTTTGTAATTTTGTAGAGATGGGGTTTCACCATGTTGGCCAGGCTGGTCTCGAACTCCTGGCCACAGGTGATCCACCGGCCTTGGCCTCCTAAAGTGCTGGCATTACAGGTGTGAGTCACTGCCCCCGGCCATGTGCCTCTTTCCTTATCTATCCAAACACACAATAGCTTCTACCCCATCGGGAGGCTGCAAAGTTCCATATTAACCTGTCAACATGCTCTGTAATGACTCTGAAGAACCTCAACATAAATATGTTTTTACTCTTCATCCTTAATTTTTTTTTTTTTTGAGACAGAGTCTCACTCTGTCACCAAGGCTGGAGTGCTGTGGCACAATCTCGGCTCACTGCAATCTCCACCTCCTGGTTTCAAGCGATTCTCCTGCCTCAGCCTTCCGAGTAGCTGGGACTATAGGCATGCACCACCACGTCCCGCTAATTTTTTGTATTTTTAGTAGAAACAGGGTTTTGCTATGTTGGAAAAGCTGGTCTTTACTTCTGGCCTTAAGTAATCCACCTGCCTCGGCCTCCCAAAGCGCTAGAATTACAGGTGTGAGCCACTGCGCCTGGCCCTTACATATTTTTCAATCAACAAAATAACCTGAAAACCAGCTTCTCAACAGCCAATGTTTGATTGGCCTGGAGAAGTTCCACATCACTGCTCCCTACTTTTTAATCATTTCACCACACCTCACCGTACTCCAAAATAGAAGAACTGACCTTGACTGTTTTTAAACGCCATGGCACTTGGTTGCAATGGTGCAATCTGTGAGTGGCCTTTCTGTCCACAGAAAGGGACAGTGTCCACACCATGGGGCAGTGAGCCTGCGGGTCCTCCAGGGTCGGTCTCTCCCTCCTCACGTGGCTCACTGAGAAGCTCGTTTCTGAGCATTATGTCACCCTTGAAAATCAGACTGTAAAGAACTGGTGATTGTTCATGATTTCAGATTTTAACAGAACGAGCCAAGACCCACTGATGATCAAGATAATGCGTGCCCATGTGCACATGTGGTATGACGCGGACACGGGGGAGAATGACCTGTCACTGCTGGAGCTGGAGTGGCCCATCCAGTGCCCAGATGCGGGGCTCCCCGTGTGCACCCCTGAGAACGACTTCGCTGAGCACCTCCTCATCCCACGCACTGGGGGCCTCCTCAGTGGCTGGGCACGCAATGGCACTGACCTGGGCAACTCGCTGACCACGCTGCCTGTCACACTTGTGGAGGGGGAGGAGTGCGGGCAGGTCCTGAATGTGACCGTTACCACCAGGACCTATTGTGAGAGAAGCAGTGTGGCGGCCGTGCACTGGATGGAGGGAAGTGTGGTCACCAGAGAGCACAGAGGCTCCTGGTTCCTCACAGGGGTCCTGAGCTCGCAGCCAGCAGGAGGGCAGGCTCGCATGGTCCTTGTCACCAAGGTCTCCAGGTACTCACTCTGGTTTAAACGGATCATGAACTAACTGAAACCCAGCCAGAAAGAACACAACCTGAAGTGGGATTCCAAGCTTGCACTGCCACCATGGAGAGCACTGAAACTTCACCACACGCTTAGAGGCCGTCACAGTCCCGGGCCACCGCTCAGCCCCAGGCCACCTGCTCAGCCCACGGAGCAGCAGAGCCGCCCTTGCTGGGCCATTTACCGAGCACTGTGACTTTTCTTTCCCTGGATCTCCTTCTCTCAATAGAGACCTTCAGAAAAAACATGAGATGCATTAAATAATAAAATAAGATAATCTGTCAGTCATAAAACAGTCTGGTTTCCAGAACATCTTTCCTTCTCCAAGTCCAGTGTTCTCTGTGCTCAGGGAACAGCCACCCCGGCCTGCACACAGGCGAGCGTGTTCTGGTGCAGAAGCCGCAGCAGTCACCAGTTACAGCAGAAAGTGACCTCCTCTGTTGGTTCCCCAGTTGCCATGGGGACTGAGGACCACGGCTCAGTGCAGCAGCAGCCACTCGAAGCAGGTTGGCAATGGAGGAGAACGACCCTGGGGGTACCTCAGAGAGGCAGCATTAGAGGAAAGGGCCAGGGAGCACGAGAGGCTGAGGAGGCATGTCAGCATCTCACAGGGTTGTGCACCAGCCCTTCTCTGGGAAGGTTCCACAGAAGGTTCCGGGGCCCCGGGTCAGGGCTGAGCACTGAGTCCCAGCTCTCTGCTCATCCCACCAGGTGGCTCCTGGACAAGTGCTCCACCTCTTCATGCCTCAGGGTCGTCCAGGGTGGAGTCACAGCGCCTCACCAATGGGCTGATGGGCAGCTAGGGCAACGCTCAGCACTGTTGTGGCTTGAGTGTGTGTCCCTTCAAAACTCGAAATTGGAACTTACCCCAAGATGACGGTATGGGGAGGTGGGGCCCTCGGGAGGTGATCAGGCCCTGAGGGCTCTGCCAGCCCCTTCCATCTCTTCTCCCACGCGAGGATGCTGCAGCGAGGTGGTACCCTGGAGACAGAGAGCCCTCAGCAGACACCAAATCTGCCGGCACCCAGATCTTGGACTTCCCAGCCCCCAGATCTGTGAGAAATGAGTTCCTGTTGTCACCATGAGACTCCATGGTATTTTGTAGAACAGACCAGGACAGCACATACTGAATCACAGTGACCACCTGCTGTCATGAAGGCTGCAGCTGCAACCCAAGTACCAAAGACAGGGCTGCAGTCCAGCCCCCAGTGAAACTTCCTTGGAGACTGGAGCTCCTAGCGGGGTCTGAATTTGCACTGAAACGGACAGAAATGGTATAAACGTTCACATTTTAACTCTGACTTAGTTAAGGAAGGGACACAGCTGCTTCACCAGTGTCCTTGAGCGACACAGAGCTCACGCCGGCTGCCTGTGGGAGGTAGGCAGACGAGGGCCGCTCAGTCAGGCAAGGGTGAGGGCCAGCTGCAGGCGCCTCGGCCAGCAGAGCCTTGTTGAGGAGCACAGAGGACTTTTGAAAAGGGGACTGAAAATGTAGGCAGACAAACAGTCTCTTGAGTTGAAAACAACTGACATATAACTTGGGTTTTTAAGCCTTACTGTTCTTCAGCACACTCTCTTTCATTTACTCTTTAATCCCAGAATTAAACTTCTCTTCTCCAATCTGTAGATGAAATGGCCCATTTCTCTGAAAGGACCTTGGCGAAAAGCAACACTGTAATTTAAGGCAAATTAATGGGGAGGGGAGTTTAAAATTCACTAGGGTGAGTTTTAAAGTCTTAGTGAACTTTGGCTGTATTATTCTCAAACTACAATAAGGTAACTAACTCACTGCTTTAAATGCCTACTAATGATTTTAAAATCCGCTAATGAACATGGCAGGCTTTCTGTACACAATGCTGCAGAAACGTCTGCAATCTTGCTTCTGGTACTTCTATTACAAATTTGGATTTACTAAACTAGAGTGGAAGCCCTGCTTGAAAACGATTCCAGGCCGGGCGCGGTGGCTCATGCCTATAATCCCAGCACTTTGGGAGGCTGACGCGGGTGGATCACGAGGTCAGGAGTTCGAGACCAGTCTGACCAACATGGTGAAACTCTGTCTCTACTAAAAATACAAAACAAAAAAAAAATTGCCAAGTGTGGTGGCTCACGCCTGTAATCCCAGCTACTCAGGAGGCTGAGGCAGGAGAATCACTTGAACCGGGCAGGCAGAGGTTGCAGTGAACCGAGATCATGCCATTGCACTCCAGCCTGGGCAATAGAGCAAGACTCCATCTCAGAAAAAAAAAAAAAAAAAAAACTATTTCAAACACAGCTGGGCAGAGGCAAAGCATATGAAGACCCTCCCTGCATAATGGTGAAATCTGTGAAATCAGGGACAATCAGAGAAAGCTACAGGCCAAGACTGTCAGCAGACATGAGGGGCCTTCGAAATGAAAGAACTACTCTACTGGTGTTTAATGATATGCTTAGAAACCGCACCATAAACAAATCTAACAAAACAATAAAACTCAAGAAAAGGGAGGCTAGCTATGATGACTCTGTTTTCCTTGTTTTTTGAGACAGGGTCTCTGTCTGTCACCCAAGGCTGGAGTGCAGGGCACGATCCTCGCTCACTGTGGGCTCGACTTCCTGGGCTCAACTGACACTCCCACCACAGCCTCGACTACAGGTGCCACCACCATGCCCAGCTCATTTCTGTATTTTCTGCAGAGATGGATTTTGCCATATTGCCCAGGCTGGTCTCGAACTCCAGGGCTCAAGCAATCTAACTGGCCTCAGCCTCCCAAAGTGCTGGGGTCATAAATGTGAGCCACCACGTCCAGCCTGTGATGATGTTTTAAAAGGACCAAACAAGTTTACACTTGGGCAGAGATTAAGTCCAACATCTGAATCCATGCAAACACACTGATATATGCCCACAGGGACACCCATGAACTTGAATGCTGCCATGTTGGACGTAGGCCTTGATATGTTTTGGCTCTGTGTCTCCACCCAAATTTCATCTTGAACTGTAATCCCCAGGTGTCGAGAAGTGACTGGATCATGGGGCGGCTCCCCCATGCTGTTCTGGTGATACTGGGGCAGTCTAACGGGAGCTGATGGTTTTAAAAGTGGCAGTTTTCCCCACGCTCGCCTCCCCTTCTGCCATGATTGTAAGTTTCCTGCGCCCGCCCCGCCGGTCATGTGGAGCTGTGAGTCCATTAAACCTCTTTCCTTTACAAATTACCCAGTCTCGGGCAGTTCTTCATAGCAGTGTGAGAACAAACTGCCATAGGCCTGAACACCACCATGTAAACGTAAGGACACCTACGCTAAGGCTGTTTCTTTCATTGCTAAGAATAACCATCCAATTACCTTGAAGTATCGGTCCTTGACTTTAGGTGTCACTATGGACGGTTCAACACGTTACCCAGAAATGTTGACAAACCTGAGCTTTCTACCGCTATTAAATCCAGAATGAAATTCAGGTATGCCCGGAGAAATTCCAGTATTCAAATTACTGTAAGAAAGTCACTTAAATCAAAAGTTGAAGGATGTTCAAGGCCCATGCTGAGCAGCAGGGAAGATCAGATTTCCTTACCCAACACTGAAAGAGAACAGGGCCCCACTGGACACATGGGGAGCTAGAAAACAGACGCAGCACCCAAAGCCTTCACCGACATGAGTTTGCTCCGTGTCTGCCCCACAGGACGTAGGAGGCACTTGTCATGACTACTGCTTTGAGGACCTTGCTGCAGGCACTGGTCACGACCTGCTGGCACTGAGGACCTTGCTGCAGGCACTGATCACGACTGCTGGCACTGAGGACCTTGCTGCAGGCACTGGTCACGACTGCTGGCACTGAGGACCTTGCTGCAGGCACTGGTCACGACTGCTGGCACTACAGGGACCTTGCTGCCCAGGCACTGGTCAGCTGCTGGCACTGGGTTGCTTGCTGCTGGTGAGCACTGAGGACCTTGCTGCTGGTGAGGAGCAGCTCTGTAGGTCAAGAGGATCCTTGGCACGAAGTCCACAGGCACAGGCGCTTGCCCTCCTGCAGCTCGTGTGTGCCTGCGGCAGTCCATGGTAGAATCTGGGTGTGACTTAGGAGGGCAGGGCATACAAGAGATCTGGCTTCCCTGGCTCTACTGGGATCTGCGCTCCCAGAATCCAGCTCCCTGCGTGTGGAAAGAAACAGGGGGACCCACCCATAACCCTGCTGAGCCCCAGGGCTGACACATGGGAACGAGTCACCTTCAGAGGGGCCCATTCAGGCCCCAGAAGAGCCCACAAACTTCCCCGCCCAGCCCCAAAGAAACTGTAGACCTGCAGATGTAGGAGCGAGCTAAGGAGTGCTGCTGAAGCCCTGGGGCAGTTCCTGCCTCCAGGGGAACCTGAGGAAGGAGCCATACAAAGTGAGTCCTACACTGTGAGGCCCAGAGAGAGAAAGAGGGATTCACACTTTGTAGGATAACTTCTCCTTGCACAAGCAGCTTTCAAATGCAGTAACTTTGCAAAGATGAGCTAATATGGTTTGTGTTCTTCTTTAGTAAATTTTTTATAAACGGGGAAGTGTGCTCACTCTGAAAAATGGCAGTGCTGGGGACTAAACTGTGTCCCCCCAAATTTCTTACATTGAAGTACTAATCCCCAATGTGACTCTATCTGGAGGTAAGGTCTTCAGGAGGTAACTAAGGCTAAATGTGGTCATAAGGGTGAGGTCCTAACCCAACAGAACTGTGGCCTTATAAGAGGAAGAGAGCCAGGTGTGGTAGCACATGCCTGTCATCCCAGCACTTTGGGAGGCCGAGGCGGGAGAATTGCTTTAGCCCAGGTGTTCCAGACCAGCCTGTGCAACATTAGCAAGATCCTATCTCTACAAAAACTAAAGAAATTAGTTGGGTGTGGTGGCATGCACCTGTGGTCCCACCTACTTGGGAGGCTGCGGAGGGAAGATCACTTGAGCCCCAGAGGTTGAGGCTGTAGTAAGCACTGACTGCACCACCGCACTCCAGCCTGGGCAACAGAGCGAGGCCCTGTCTCAAAAAAAAAAAAAAAGAGAGAGTCATCTCTGTCTGTACCATCTCTAGCACAGCAAGAATACCACCATATTCTTGAGTGCGCAGCTCAGAAGATAGTTCTCCCCAGAAGCCAACCACGCTGGTAACCGCATCCCAGTCAGACCTGCAGCCTCTAGAACTGAGGAAATACATTCCTGTTGCTTAAGCTGCCCAGCCTGTGGTATTTTGTGATGGGAGCCCAACAGTCCAATGTGAGTGGCCCGACTTCG